ATTGTGTTTATCTGCAGTTAGTTACACGAATTCAGATATGAGATGAAATCGGATTGAGATGAAATCGTTTAGGAATAAACGTGTTTAAGAGTTTTAAGAGTTTTAGCCAAATGCTTTATAATATAGTATAGATATAGATAATATTTTATCTTACGATAAACCTCTTAAATCATTCATTTTACGCTAAACCATTATTCAACCGCCCAAACAGTCGCTGCAAATCGGTCTAACCAGACACCGGCTGATAACCTAAGACACTAGACACCATATCGATCTCTCTCTACCGATTTCTCCAAATCAATCTCTGCAAATCGGTCTAACCAAAAGGTATGTCGATCTCCCGATTTTAAACCCAAATCGTTCGATATTCATTAGCCTCCTGACAAATCTCACTTTCAGAATCATGTTCTACCTCTTGCTTCATATATATATATATATATATACATACGTGGATTTGGGTTTTTAAAATAGTTATCATATGGGTGTTTGAGTTCCACATTCTGCTTGTATCATATGTTTTCTAATTAGTTTGTGTTTTAGTTGACTGAATATGGCTCAGAACATCATGTGTGTGTTCAATATTCTGAATCAGGGTTATTGTTGTTAGAATCTGTTTCATAATATGTTGTGGGTTTTTAAAAATTGATGATGTTTTTGGGATTTTTGCAGCATTCGGATCCAATTGGAAGATTATAGGTGGTCTTTTGTTGTGGGTTCGGACAGAAGCCATAGTGGAAGCAGCAGGTATGTTAAACTCCTTGGATTAAAGGTGGTCTTTTATTCCTCCAAAATAAGATTATTGTTTTGGTCTTAGATTTTGATCATTTGCCTGAAACTGTGGTTTATAATTCAATACCCATATATGTTTCCATTTAATGGTGTAGTTCATTTTCATATCGAGAAGTTTGTTGTGTCTCTTATGATCTTAGCAAATAGTATGGGTTTTTCAATGTGTGTTATTACTTGACAAATTTTTTGGAACAGAATAAGGTCTTTCTGGTTCTGCAGCTAGTTTGTGTGGATTTCTATGAGGGGGATGGTTTGCTGATCACCAAAAAACTTGACAAGAAAATCTCCGATGATTTTACTGCGTAGTTTCCTGATAAAACATGATTGAATAAGACACATCTGGTATCAAAAAGATCCCTCGGAGTCGTGCCTCTCGTTGTCTTGCCGTCGTATCTCTCACTGGTTCGTCTCTCTTGCCGACTCTATGTTGTTCATCATTCATGAAATTAGTTTGATACCTAAATTATTCAGAGAATTTTGAAGTGAATCTACTGTTTGATGTTGTTCATGATTCATGAAATCAGTATAAAAATCTTACTTTTTGATTTCATGTTTGAGTTTTATAAGATTCTATTTGCTGTGTGCTTGATTGATCCGTATTTTGGCTTTGAAGTTTTAACTGCTGCCTGAGTTTTCACTCTGTACATTTATTTGACATTCCTCATCTATGATATCATTAGATTTCCACCGTAATAGAGCTGATGATATTATGCCTGTGTGGAGTGGAATTTCTGTAAAAATATAAAAACAAATTATGGACATTAGGGCATATAATCGGATTAAACGCACCTTCCGCGTTGGCGGCGAGTGGATTGCCACAATCCCATTCATCATTTTTGATCAGCCAATCCCTTGCAGCTTTATCTCACTTCTACTTCTCGTGGGGATTTAAGGTCATACTGTTGAAATTGGTTCTCAAACTCTCAACTCACTGTATACCAATTGTTGAAATTGGCTTTCAGACTTTTGACTCACACTTTTGGTTGATCACAAAAATGATTCGATTATTTTTGAGGAAAACGTAAAATGTTCTTATATAAAGCTTACAAACAAACAGAAAGAAGACTAATTCAAAAACTAATCTAAGGTAACAGAAACCTACGTGACTCCTTTATTTCGGGAGTGTTTATTTGAAAAAGACGCTAACAGAAAGTTTTACTTTGACTTGTTCTCAACAAATCCTTCTCCAAACTGAGAGTGCTGAAAGCAACTCAGTTTGCATCTCCGGAATGTCGGATCCCAAGCATGCTACGCAGCTTCAAAAATGCATCGAGCTTTAATGGTTTCGTCATGATTCAACCATCTGCGCTTGAGTTCCACAGAAGACCAGCTCAATCTCCCCATCTTTAACCAAATCTCTTAGAAAATGAAATCTCACCTTAATGTGCTTTGTTCTATCATGAAAGACAGGTTTCTTCGAAAGTGTGATTGAAGAACTGTTATCACAGTAGAAGGAAGCTTCTTTGTTCTGAGCTTCATGAAAATTGCTTAGTACTTCCTTCATCCAAACACTTTGACACGCACATGTTGAGGCAGCAACGTACTCCGCTTCAGTAGTCGTTAACGTCACAATGGGTTGCTTCCTTGAACTCCAAGCAACTGCTGCCCCACTTAGAAAAACGCATAACCAGATGTGCTCTTGTTACCGTCTATATCTCCTGCAAAGTCGCTATCCTTGTAACCTATTAAGTCGTCGTTTTCATTTTTTTTTGTAGAACAACCCCAACTTTAACGATCCTTTGACATAACGCAAAACTCTTTTGGCAGCCATAAGATGAGCTTCTCTGGGGCATGACATGAACCTACCGAGAAAGCAGACCGAAAACATTATGTCTGGTCTGGAGGCAGTCAGATACATCAAACAACCAATTAGTTGTTTGTACAATGAAGAGTCGACCATTTCTCCTCTTCCTCCTTTGAGAGCCTGGTGCCAGGTACTATTGGATTCACGAGGTTACAATCTTCCATACCAAATCTTGCAACAATTTCTGTGGCGTACTTCTTCTCGCACAAAAATATTCCCTTGACAGATTGCTTTACTTCAACACCCAAGAAATAACTCAGCTTGCCCAGATTTGTCATGTCAAAATTTTGCGTCATGGATGATCTAAAATTTTCACACAAACCTGGATCATTCCCGGTGAAGATCAGATCATCCACGTATAAGCTTACAACGAGAAGTTTTCCTTCAGTTGTCTTCTTTGTAAACAATGTATGCTCATGACTGCACTTACTGAATCCTTTTGCAAAGTAGTCTTCGATCTTGCTGTACCAGGCTCTAGGAGCCTGCTTGAGCCCGTACAATGCCTTTTTGAGCTTATAAGCTTTGTGCTCCTCTCCTACTCGAATGTAGCCTTCGGGCTGCTCAACATACACCGTCTCCTTCAAGACGCCATGGAGAAAAGCGCTCTTAACATTTAGTTGAAAAACACACCATCCTTTCTGAGCAGCCACGGCTAAAAGCATTCAGATGGTGTCCCACCTAGCCATGGGTGCAAAGACTTCTTCATAGTTCACTCCGTATTGTTGTGCGTAACCCTTAGCGACCAACCTTGCCTTACAACTATCAACTTCTCCCTTTTCGTTTAACTTTGTCTTGTACACCTATTTCACTCCAATCTTCTTTACTCTAGTTGGTAAGTCTACAAGCTCCCAAGTCTTGTTTCTTTCGATTGACTCAATCTCTACATCCATTGCCTCTCTCCACTTCTTTTCTCTTATCGCCTCATAGTAGGTTGTTGGGTCTGTTGCAAGTGAACATTGAAAAATGTTGAACTTCATCTTCTTCCTCGGATAATCCTTCCCCGCTAGCATAATCATGTAAGTATCTTGGAGGATATTTGCTTCTTTTTTCTCGAGTTGGCTGATTTCGAGTTGCATCATTTTCTTCGAGTGAGTCTGCAGATGATAGAGATGGTGAACTTGAATTGCCTTCACTGGAATCGATATGTTGAGTACTCGTATCATCGTCATGGGTTTCTTCAACCCCATCTTCATCAATTACGAGACTGTCATCTTTTGCTTTACAACTCCTTCCCCAATTCCAAAATTGTTGCTCATCAAAGACAACATCCTGCTGATAATACACTTCTGAGCTACTGGATCATACATTTTTGTAAGCCTTTGACTCACTCACACCCAAAAATAAGCATTTTTGACTCTTGTCATCCAACTTCACCCTTTTCTGACTTGGAATGAGCACATGTCCGATACACCCGAAGATTTTAAAATGTTCTACACTAGGCTTGACTCTGCTCGAGCATTCTTGAGGTGTTCTTTCTTTTGCTGTAGATGTAGGGCATCTATTGAGAATATGCCCAGTCCACTTTGCAGCTTCTCCCCATAACTTCTTTGGCATGTTCTGTTCTTTCAACAAGCATCGAACCATATTCATGATGGTTCTATTTTTCCTTTCTGCCACCCCGTTTTATTGGGGTGTAAAGGCAGCCGTAAGTTATCTTTTAACGCCAGATGTAGTGCAGAAAATGTTGAATTCCCTGGAGTTGAACTCTCCTCCTCGATCACTTCTTGAACAACGTATCTTCAATTGAGCTTCATTTTCAACCATTGCTTTGAAACTTTTGAAGAATGTTAGCACTTCACTTTTATCGGATAGAAAGTAAAGCCATGTCTTCCTATTGTAATCATCAATGAAACGTAACACATACCTCTTATCACTTGTGGTGCTCTGTGTGATTGGTGCACACAGACTGTTCAGATGCTCTCCATCTTGCTGCCTTTGGAATTGGCTCCCGTTGTTATTTCCCTTTTGCATATACTTCACATATGTTGTTCAACTTCTGAATTGAGGGAAGACCTTTTACTATCTGTTTCTTAGCCAAACATTGCAGACTTTCCATGGTTAGGTGACCAAATCTTTAATGCCAAAGTCGTGAAGTGTCTTCAGTAGTAGTTTGCAGACACGAAGACGGTGATTCTTCTACCGCCAATGCAAACATCCTATTGGATGTCATGAATGTGCTTATGACCAGCCCCCACTCTTCATGAAACACCTTGCACGTGCCTTCCTTGATGAGTATTGCTAGCTTCTTCTCCTGGAGCCGTCCAAGACTTAACAAATTTGTAGTTAATTCTGGCACATAATATACATCACTTACAACGTGTGTTCTTCCTTGTATGGATAACCTAGCGTTCCCTTTTCCTCGTACTTCCAATCGTAAGTTGTTCCTCTACTTGACAGTATGTCTGAATTCCTCAACCAAGCTTGTAAACCACTTCTTATTTCCAGTCATATGGTTTGAACATCCCGAGTCCATAAACCAAATATTGTCTCTTTGCGCTTCTTCCTTTTCAACGAATGCCATTAATAGCAACTCTTCACCTGTGTAATGAGCACTTTTGTCCCAATACTAGGATGCGAAGTGCCCTAATTTGTGACATCTGAAGCATTCAACCATAAATCTCCCATAACTCCGTCCACGGCCACGGCCACAACCACCTCTGAATCCTCCTCTTGGAGAACCTCGACCCCTTCCTCCAATTCCCTTGTCATCGCTTGATACCTTGAGTACTTGCTCCTCTTCAATACTGCCTTTCATGCGTTGTTATTGCACCAATAAACTACTCTGCAGCTCGTCAAGTGTGAGATTATCCAAGTTGTTACTCTTCAATGGAACAAACCACGTAATTGAACTTTACCGTCATAGACCTCAGTATTTTCTCGGTGATCGTATTTTCTTGAATTGCTTCTCCACATGCCTTCATCTTCTAGCAATGGCAAGGGTTCTTGAGAAATAATTGTTAACCGGCCCTCCTTCCTTCATATTGAGTACCTCAAATTCTTTACGCAAGGGTTGAAGTTGGGCCCTCTTCACCTTCGTTGAGCCTTGAAATTTCTGCCGCATGCTATCCCATATCTGCTTGCTTGTGTCTGTGTTGAGGATTGTGTCAAGAATATCTCTATCAATTGATTGATACAGATAATTCTTGAGTTTTAAATCCCTCAACATCTGGTCGTCGATCACTTTCTGCTCTGCGTCCGTAGGTACTGCTCCTGCCGGTTTACTGATCCCATTCTCTATGAGATCCCAATATTCCTTAAAGCGAGTGAAGTTTTCCCTCAATCGAGCCCAATGGTCATAGTAACCATCGAACCTTGGAATTGCTGGAACAACAAAGCCCTTTGCACTGCTGCCATCTCCCATCAGAATTTCTTACTCTTAACCCTTTTGTTCGAAATCAGATCCCTTGTGAGAAGGCGCTGATACCAATTGTTGAAATTGGCTTTGAGACTTTTGACTCACACTTTTGGTTGATCACAAAAATGATTCGATTATTTTGAGGAAACGTAAAATGCTCTTATATAGAACTTACAAACAAACTGAAAGAAGACTAATTCAAAAACTAATCTAAGGTAACAAAAACCTACGTGACTCCTTTATTTCAGGAGTGTTTATTTGAAAAAGACCCTAACAGAAAGTTTTACTTTGACTTGTTATCAACAAACTGATTGAATCTTGGTTTACTGGTTGAATTGATTGTTTAGTGGAGTAAATTTCGTAGTCCAGAGTTTTTTTAGGGGATGGGGACACACTTCAGAGGTTTTTGCAATGATTTGTTTGCTCGAAAACGCTTTAATCTAGAAATTATATATGTTGTATTCATTAGTTTTGTTAAATTTGAAGTCGGGATTGTTCATTATGATAAGAAATTAGTTATATGTGTTTGTCTCGAGCATACTATGTGGCTAAATTTTGATTTTTTCTGGTGGTGTATATGAACTGAACTACTCTCATGGATTATGGTTTGTTAGCAAGTTCATAGGGAAATTGACAGAATTAGCCGTTTTCCACGGATCAATTCACCTCTTAGCCTTTCCTCTCCCACTTTCACCCAAAAGTCACCACCAAGTGCCTGGGCCGCAACTTGCGGAGGGGTCTGAAATAAATAAAAAGAACAAGTCTGAGGTGGGAAGTAAACACTTGGTGGTTCAAGTTGGGGTGCGATGCAAGGGCCGCCAGTGGAAAATTGATTGATATAAATGTGAAGTTTAATGTTTTCTTAAACTTATTAATGTCCCTCTGCAAGTTGCGGCTAAGGCACTTTCATATATAGGTTTTAACCACCTCTTTCTGCTGATGAACCATGAGTGCATTAGAGAGACATTACATTTAGATGACTAATGCCACATTGCCACCTCATTGTGGTTGTTTTATTTATATAAATTAATTTTGTTAATTTTGATAAATAGAACAGAACCACTGGGATAAGTGACAAGGGAGCAAAAACGAAATGGCTGCACGGGAAGTTGGACGTGTTGGGCTTCCGTTTATGAACATTGTAAGAATGAAGGGTGTGCCCATCCTGCAGCAGTTGGAGATGGAGGAACGTCTTCTTCGTACCTCATTAGATAATTGGTGCATCATTAACGATGGGACCGATAGCCCCACTATCGTCATGGGGATTTCTGGGTACGTTCGATTGCACAAATCCTAGTTATGATTTCGTCAGTAACTTGATTATATGATGTTGGTACTGAGTAATGTGCATAAATGCTAATTATGGTTTCATCTATGTGATTTGTTCCCGAGACCTTATTATTTTAGATGAATCTGTTATTAGGAAACCTGCCGAACTTGTTGAAATTAGTCCTGTACTAGAAGATAAAATTCCTGTCATACGAAGGTTTACTGGTGGTGGAACTGTAATAGTTGATCATGGGACAATATTTGTTTCATTTATATGCAATAAGGATGCTGTTGCTGATGTTCAACCTTATCCTCGACCTATCATGTCTTGGAGCAGCCTATTATACCATAAAGTGTTTCAAGGGATTGCCGATTTCAGGCTTCGTGAGAATGGTATGAGGATTAAACCGTACTTTGATCTATAAGTTTCCCTACAATTGGTGGATACACGATAAGAGTCATTGTCGATCTAATTTGTGTTGTCTTCTTCCATCTTGTCTTCCAAAAGCAACTAGTTATAGCATCGTAAATTTTGCTGCAATTTCATGTTTTCTGCTTGTTGGTGTTGTCTTTGTTTCTGGTAATCGAAAATATCTTTCTTCTTATTGTGGATCCCTTCTCGGCTCCTTCCTTGGATGCAAATTATTTAATGTCTGAATGCTACAGGGAGGTTCAAATGAGAAAGACAAAAAGACTGAGAACGTGTGAATAAATGATTCATATGTGAATCATTGGTAAAAGAAAATGTGGGTTCACGTATGTATCTTCATATGTGAATAATTGGTAAATGGGTAGGTAAGCAAACATGATTCACATATGCATCATATGGTTTTCTTTTGGGTTTGCCAATGATTCACATAATCTTTTTACCTTTCTCAGTTGAACCTTCCCCTTGAATGCTATCTCAGGAAGTTTATTTTGGTATGCTACAAGTCTGACATTATGACTTCATCTATTATAGATTACGTATTTGGGCACCGCAAGTTTGGTGGAAATGCGCAGTCAATTACTAAAAATCGGTGGATTCATCATACATCTTTTTTGTGGGATTACGAGACTCGTAACATGTCCTATCTCAAGCTTCCTAAGCGGGCTCCCGAATATCGACTGGTATGCTAATTATCTCTTGTATTAGTCCCTAAGTTTACCTTGTAAACGAGAGTGCGTGTCCTAGATATTCACGGGATGTTCATTATGAATGGCGTATCATTCATCTTGGAATGCTGTAAAAGATTCACGTTCATTATTCGTGATGAATGGGAACAAATGGGGACGTGTGTCGCACTCTCTGTCCCTCGGTTCACAACTATGGCATAGAAAAAAACGGAGGCAGGGTTTCTTATTTGTTGGGGATATATTTGGTTCAACCAGTTACGCCGTCCGTCTCAGAATAAGTGTCCACATTTCTATTTTAGTTTGTTCCACTTTCAAAAGTAAAAGTCTACTTTACAATCCTACCCTTAATTATGGGATAACAGAAATTCTTTACTCCCTCTATTACTAAGGGCAAAATGGTCATCAAATTGGTTAAAAGAGCGTGATAATTACACATTTTCAAAACTACGTGCCCTTTTCGTTGCGTTGTGGACATTTATATTGTGACGGAGGGAGTGTATTTGTTTTCGTCTTTTCTTTTTTAAATCATCTGTTCTGTATTTTGTGGTTAGGCAAGGGATCATCTTGATTTCATCTGTCCCATGAAGGACCATCTTTCAAGGTCGGATTTCATCAGCAAAACCATCGATGCAGCGGGAAGCCATTTCTCCGTTTCATCAACAACGATCGAACCTCCGTCAAATTCGAAGTTTACTCCCACCTCCAGATTACTAACTAAACAGGAATTAGAGAGTGCAGCTATCAAATTATACCAATAAGAGCGTCTACGTTAACATCGATAAATGATCGCATGCAGGTACGATTGATTGATAGATCGTATACATCATTCATTATCTAATCAACGGAACTCGAATAATGGATCGTAGTTTGAATAAAACCCGCTCGATATCCGATTTGGGGAAGAAATTACCCTTGTTTGTGGATGCTCTCATCCATGTCAACGTTAAAGGAATTCAACAAGGTTCGGGATTTTGTACTAATCGAAGGAATCGTTTTACGTGAGGATTCTCAACAAGTTTCTTGTAATAAGACGATATATTTCTCGAGTATTATTTAAGTCGATAACTTTATCGAACAATTTATTGTTCATCAATACATACGACACACAGTTGTTGGTGTTAATTATACACTTTAACCTAGTTTTGCATGGTGTCATAACACATCACTATTGTCGTGATGAATGCTATAATAAGCACCACTACTAGAAAACAAGGTATCAGCGACGGAAAAAATCTCTTGCTGATCAGCGAGGGATCAGTAAGGGAAATGCCAAAAACCACAGCGAGGGAAGTGGCCAAAAAACAGTTCCTTTGTTGATCCGTTGCTGATAGCATTACCTACGAGCTTTTGACCAACGGACTATTAGCGAGAGATCAGCGATGGAACATCCCTTTTGCGACGGATCAGCGAGTGAATTTTCTCTCGTTGATACTCTTCATTTTTGTAGTGCTACATGTACTTGATTGTATGAGATTCTAAAGAGTTTCTACTTCTTTTTCTTTAAAGTATTCCGACTTTGTTAACCTTGTTTTTTGTGATAACTTTAAAAACCAATCTCTAACCATATAATGGTTTAAATTGATTTTGTTACCAAAGGGCCTTTGACCTAGCGGTATCGTAGCCCTTGGTCTTCTTGGAGGTCAGGGGTTCAAACCTCACCATAGGTGAGGAGGATGTGTGAGTTTATTTGTTGCATTTGCCGTATATAAATATTATATACTTCAAAAAAAATTTGATTTTGTTAATTTTAATATTAAAAGTAACTGAACCAATTAGTAAGGAAGATGAATCATCATGAACAAGAGTAAATCCAGTACAAAACAAATAAAATAAACTTACCATCGTCAGTGAACATATCCATGAACATTGTTAACAATTATGAATCCCAATAAGTGAACATATCCATGAACATTTTTAACGTGCCATGTTAGTTCACAATTTCCATGTTCATGAACACTAATGTTCACTAGGGGTGCTCAAAAACCCGATCAACCCAACGCGAAATAACTCAACCCGAAGTAACCCGATATCTAATCGAGTTGTAAAATTTTCAAACCGTAGGTATTGGGTTGATATTATTTGAATCCAACCAAACCCGATGAACCCGATATCCTTTTATTTCTTGGATTTAATATGATTGTTGAATTTCTATTAATACATGCATTAGACAATAACGCTATCACGTACGCTCTTCATATACACATCTTTTCAATCTATTCACATCTCTATATAACTCATTCGTATATATGTTCAGTAATTGTAAACATATATATGTAAATTGAGAAAATTAATTGAATGTGATATACGTAAGAAGTATGGTTAAATTGTATAAAATGTTTGATGATAAAAAATAAATTATGAGGGGAGAAATAACATATTCAAGGTTAGAAGAATACTTTAATGTACCAAAGTATCAACCGACCAATCCGACTAACCTGACCAACCCGTACGGTTTGGGTTGGGTTGGGTTGCACTTTCGTTTGGGTTGAATTGGGTTAAGATTTTTCAAACCGCAAGCATTGGGTTGGGTTGATTAAATTTTTTCAACCCGATTAACCTAACCCATAAACACTCCTAGTTAACACAAAAAACAAGGTTAACATAAAACATAACATTTCCCACATCTTTGGAGAAAATCATGAAACAATTTTTTGTTTCAATTGTAATAATTATCCATTTACGTTTGCATGCAATTTCCCCCCAATTCTTCAAACCCTAATAATTGTTCCAAGTAATCACTACCCAAATCTTCTAAAACGACGACGCTTTCAACCTTCGTCTCCACTCGCTTCTTGTTCTTCATCTCAAACCTCCTCTTGACGGAATGCATCCTCTTCAATGCCAGCACCGGCGAACTCCCTTCTTCATAACTGTAACCCATCTCCTTCAACGATTCATACGCCACCTCCTCCGTGAAATTCAGCACCGCCGTCGACCCACGTAACGCAAATGCCGCCTGATCATACGCCAGTGCGGCGGCTTCCGCCGTATCAAATGTTCCCAACCAAACCCGAACGCCGTTTCTGGTGGAGTCACGTATCTCCGCCGCATACTTCCCCCACGGCCGCCTCCTCACGCCTCTGTAACTGATCCACTCTTCTTGTTCTTTAACCTGATAGTTCGCCGGAAACGACGAGTGGGTTTTTGTTTTTGCTTCTGGTTCTCCGGTGGAGTCTGAGATGAGTCCGAAGAGAAGCATGTCTTGGGAGTCGTTTTCGTTGAAAGGAAGAAAATGGTGATCGGAGTAGTGTGAGTAATCAAATTGAATCGCCGGAGAAGAGTATTCCGGTGAGCTGAAGCAGGTTTCCGGTGAGTAATCCATGCAAATATTTTAATGTTTATTTTGATTAAACGGTTCGAACGTTGATATATATATATATATATATATATATATATATATAAATAGAAAGTATGTGGTGGGGCCCAGGAGAGTTACGACACGTGGGCCCAAAGACTATTGCACATGACTTATGCTGACATCAGCAACTACTGATTGGTCTAATAATATTTATATTTTTTTATTATAATTTATTTTTTAAATTAATACAAATGTTTTCTTTGGTAAATGAAGGTGTTCCCGTCAGATTATGCGTATCGACTAATATTCTGTATGATAATGAATGACTTGAGGTTATCGTAGGTATGATGGGTAAACGAGTCGAGCCGAGTTAGTTGCGTTGTTCGAGCTCGACTCGAGAAAATAATACCAGACTTGAGGTCGAATAAGTTTTTCAAAGTAGGCATCGAGCTCAAAAATGCGTATGCTTGAATGGTTTGGCTAAGCTCAATTCGAAAAATTTAATTGAGTTTTGGAACGAGCCGAGTCAACCATCGCTTTTACGAAGCTTGGGCTCGTTAAGTTAAATGAGTTTTATTTTGTGTTTCGAGAGCGACTTGAGCTCGATAATTATTAAGCTTGAGTTCGAGATAAACGAGCTCGAATCATTTACCAGTGCATCAAAGGCTTTGGTATCCCCTGGATTCAAACCTAGGAAATATGAGATTTCCGATACATCTTCCTGAACTTTAACCAGTGCGTCACAACCCAAGTGATTAATACAAATGTTTTTAACGAAAGCTGCGACTGCTAATTTCAAGATTTGATGTTTTCCTTTTTAATCTCTTTTTGGAACATTGAAAAGATAAATTACGAGTTTGTCCCTGTAAAACTGATTTGGGGTTATACCCCTCATTTCTCGTCCGTTTCCTCCAATTTTAAGGGTAAATTGTATGAAAAAATAACGTACTTTAACTTGATTTCTATTTTGAGTAACATACTTTTAAAACTTTCATTTTGGTATATAAGATGCAAAATTTTAAACATTTAAGTACCCGGATAACCGGTTGAAAACTAATTTTAGATTTAAAAAAATTCATGTCGCTAATCACTCACCAAATAATACTGAGTCGGCTCGCATAGCGGGTTGGATATTCAGGTTAATAAAAAAAAAAAGGTTTTAACCCAACCAACCCAACCTACACAGTTTCGTTTGGGTTGGGTTGAGGTTTATCAAACCACAAACATTGTGTTAGGTTGTTCAAATGCCTTCAACCTGACCAACTCAACCCATGTGCAGTCCTAGTCCGAGTTATATATTTCATCTCATAGCAAGCCAAATTAACCAAAAAACGTTAAATTCAACTACAAGAAAATGAGTCAAATTGGTCGAAAGTCGTCAAAAACTTATTCAAATGATTACCATATATCCCAAATCGTTTTACTCAAAAAAGTTGATTTATTATAATAAAAAGAAGTCGTTGTACTGATTATTTATTAAAACAACAGAATAAACATCGACAGAGCAAATCAACCCAACCTGTTTTTAACTATCCATCCACTTATTCTATAGCTTTCTAACAAGTCAAGATACATATTCCATCAAAACAAAGAGTGGTACTGTTACTGTGTAAGCAAAAGATAACAGTATTATATCGTAACAATCAGATATAATTATTTAATTAAATGAAAAAAAAAAAAAACAAAGAGTGTGGGTCACAAGTGTTTATAAATGACATCAAAATTTGAGTAATTGTGTCAATTTAATTAGATGATTTGTGGATGAGAGAAGATGATGGTTGTAGTTGGTTTGAAAGAAGTTTGACTGTTATTACTTTGACCAACACTATTGTTCAAACTTTACTATATTGTCTATTTCATGACCATGGAAGTTTGACTATTTAACTGTATAAAAGTAAAGCAAATTGTATGAAAAAGTAACGTATTTTAATTTGTTTTTTTTTTATTTATTTTGGATAATATATTTTTAAAACTTTTATTTTGATAGCTAAGATGTAAAGTTTTAAACGTTTAAGTACCCGGGTAACTGATTGAAGTATTAATCGATTATCATGCTGATGTGACGAGTGATGTTGTATCCAACTCAATGTTATTTGCTGACGTGGTTGGTGACATGAATTTTTTTTTAATCTAAAATTAGTCTTCAACCGGTTATCCGAGTAATTAAATATTTAAAACTTTACATCTTATGTACTAAAATAAAAGCTTTGAAAGTACGTTATCCGAAATAAGAATCAAGTTAAAGTACATTATTTTTTCTTGTAATTTTCTTAAAAATAAATGTAAGAGCATTTTAACATATTTTTTAAAATTTCGTTAAAATGAAGAACTAAAAGTCAAAATCTTTGAAAAAAAATTACGTTCATTTTCAAGAGATTCCCCATTTTGGAGAATCCAACATTGATTATAATATTAAAATATTTCATTCATCTATTAAAATATTATTTTTTAATTTAAATATTTATTTTTAAAGTTTTCTATTGATGGTCTCAATTGGTAACCATTTTTCATGAAAATTGATTATAATATTAAAAAAATTGCATGAAAAATGTAATGTACTTTAACTTGATTCCTATTTTAGGTAACGTATTTTCAAAACTTTCATTTTGGTATCTAAGTTGTAAGGTTTTAAACATTTAAGTACCCGGGTAAGATGAAAAAGTGACGTACTTTAAATGGTCTCACGTGAACCCCAACCCTATATATATATATATATAGAGAGAGAGAGAGAGAGAGAGGGGGGGGGGGAAAGTTTGGTTCAAATGTTAACCAATATTATTGTGTTAACTTTGTTAACCAAGCTCAACCAATAAAATCCATCTTTTATCTAAGTTCAGATCCATCTAATAATTTAATAACAAGGGTAAATATACATTTTTAGTTTGTATGTAACTCTAATAACATTATTTGGGAGTTACAAAACCAAAAAATCCCATAATTCTTGTTGATTTACTATTGATCTTGTTTTTCTATAATATTGATTTTTCTATCTATAATGTTCTTGAACTTGTGATTGGTTGAAGAGACTCGTTAGTAAAGTTTTCGGTATCGTTCAAGCTATTATGGATAACACATTGTTCATAATGAAATAACTATTGATCACAAGTGTTCATATGAACACTAGCTGCATATCTCAACATTGGCTTGCTCTTGAATGTGTTCATAATGAAGAAACTATTGTTCACAAGTTGTTCATACATGCTTTTTTATTTATTTCCTTTCGTGTAGCAGCTATTCTTATTATGTTTATATTGTGTTTTTAAATGTTATGCAGTCCAAATTCATATATACATATATATATATATATATATATATATATATATATGTATGTGTGTGTGTGTGTCAATTTTGTTCGTATTTAACACAATGATTCATATATAGAGAGAGGAATGTGTTTTTATGGTTCTTACATTAATAAAAATAAATTAACTAAACTAATAGGATTTTTTGATTTTGTAACTCCCAATTAATGATATGGGAGTTACATAAAACATAAAATTACCTAAATACCATTTTCCCTTTGTTCACATATGTTTTTTGAAATTGTAAATTTAAAAAATTAATTTTTTATCATGATTAATCACAACCGTTTATTGTAAAAATCAATGACCAAGATTAGTTAACAAAGTTAACACAATAATTTTGATTAACATTTGAACCAACCTCTTTTTCTATATATATATAATGTATATTGGCCACGTTTGAAATAGTATATATTTATACATAATTTATGGTTCAATATATAGAGTGGATATATAAGGTGAGAATTGTATAATCTTGACTCAAAACTTGGACTTTGAAATTTCCCTTTCAATAACTTGTCGACTAGTTGCATTATTATTGTTTGATTTATACCATCACACAAATAACACTTAATTATTTAAATCATCAACAAACCTTCCAAATATTAATTTCTTCAAATATCATGGCTTATAAAACTGATATTTGGTTCGTATACTTCAAACGACATATTCGACATGGGTGTATTTGTGCCACGCCATCTCTTTTTCTTTTTGAAGTATATAGTAACTTATATATATATATATACACGGTAAATAGAACAAATAACTCACACACACTCCTCACATTTAGGAGGCTAAAAGCTCACATGCCGCTAGACCAAAGGCCCTTTGGTTCTCACGCCATCTTGCTAACATACATATGATACAACAAACGAAGTATGACCAAAGGGACTTTGGCCTAGTAGTATCGTAGTACTTGGCCTCCTAGGAGATCAGATGTTCAAACTTCACCAAATGTGAGAAGGGTGTGTGAGTTTATTTGTTGTATTTGCCATATATAAATATTATATACTTCAAAAAACAAACAAACAAACAAAGTATACGTGTTGTAAATACAATTTAAATCAACTCCCACACGTTATTAACATCATTCGAAACTAGATTTTCACCTACGGAAATTTATGTCGGAAATCAACTACATATTTGTGATAAAATTCATTATCTGATTCTAAACATTAATTTTTAAAATCCGTCGGGAATTCTGAAAAGTTTTCTACGGATTTCTAACGGGTTCATCATCTTATTTTAAAACAAGTAATTTGATTACGTCGAAAACGGTCATCGAAAAAAGTATTTGGACCAGAAAATCTCCGAAGAAGATTCTAAAAAATTTCTACGGAAATCCAACATCAGATTTTAAAATATAATTTGTGATTTCGTCGAAAATTGCCATCAAGAAAAGCATTTCAATCAAAAAACGTCTAACGGACTCTTTCGTCGGAAACCACCATTTCCGATAATAACTGTACTCGATAGACATAATTACAAAAATACCCAGAACCATAAAACAAATTTTAAATTTAAATAATATATTTTTATACAACAATTGCAATCAAAAGAAATCTTGGAGAGGGCCATAAACATACCTCAACTTGCAACATCAATTGACTTCCAAATGAATCAAAACCACAATGAATGCATTAAAATAAATAAAGTAATCATAATAAAATCACAAAAAAAAAACATATTAAAAATAGAAAGGACCCCACAAGATTGATATGTATATGCATGGTGCATGAACATATCACAACATCTAATTGAACCATGGTCAAATGCCATATATCATGTGCTCTTAAATATTAATAACGTAAATTAGCTCAACTGATAATAAAACTTGAGTATTTGAGAATCATCTTTAGAGGTTTTCGGTTCTAAGTCTTGTAAAACCACTGAAGATTTTTCTAGCTATTTTCCAGGTAAGGATGATGATTTGCTCCGATCCGGTGGGGAACCCGACTCACCCGACCCGAACGAGGACGGGAATTCTTGGCTAAAACGGGCCCCTGTACACTTAAACCGGGGTTGGGGTCGGGGCCGGGTATTGTACCCCCGCCCCGTACCCGTTTTACTAATATATCATTTAGTAAATATTTGGGCTACCAAAGGGCTTTTGGCTTAGTGGTATCGTAGTTCTTGGCCTCCCAGGAGACCAAGGGTTCAAACCTCACCAAAGATGAAGAGAGTATGTGAGTTTATTTATTGCATTTGCCATATATAAATATTATATACTTAAAAAAAAAGTATTTGGGCTTTGGAAATTCTGATAGTGGGCCTCTGTTGTTGTTGGACTTCAAGAGTATTTGTATTAGGAAACATGAGACTGGACCGGGTCGGGAGACGGGTCTTGAGTCGGGACCGAGGTTTGATTGGGGTTTGACTAGATTTTGACCAGGGATGAGATGTTAGTCCCTGTACTCGCCGGGGATTACAAAACCGACCACATCCCTGTCCCGTTGTCATGCCTATTTTTAGGACCCCTGAAATTAATCGAGGTATATTCAAAACCGAACCGAACATCCATGGTTGATAAAATACCTCAAGATGGTATGGTTGAAAATATAGATTTTTAATTTAGCAAATAACATTATCTTGTAAATTATTCTACGCATCTCCAACAAATTTTTCAAAATGATGAATCAAAAGTCAAAATCTTTAAAGAATATTTATACTGATCTCCAACAGTTTCTTCATGTTGGAGATTACAATATTTATTATATTATTAAAATATTTAATACATTTTATAAGATATTATTTTCTTTATTAAACATTTAATTTTAAGGATTTTTTATTGGTATGAGGAATAAAAAGTAATTACTTTTTCATCGCTAATCTGTTTTGAAGAGTTCTCCAATTTGAAGAATTTTATTTTCTTTCTTATACTTTCTCCATTTTAGAAAGGGAAATTGCATAAAAAAGTAACGTACTTTAACTTGATTCCTATTTTAGGTAACATACTTTCAAAACTTCCTACGATGTAAAGCTTTAAACATTCGAGTACCCGGGTAACCGCTTGAAACATTAACCGGTTACCATGCTGATGTGGCAAGTGATAGGATGAATCACTAAAAAATAAACAGTTTCCCAACAAATGAATAAATGAAAAATAAATGTAAATCAAACACTAATACCTGATTGTTTTAAATATACTTTAAGTTATTAAATATTGTGACAGATTAATAAATTCACAGCTTAACGGGTTGCCAATAACTCCAGGGTATTCGTGATCGCTATCGATACACAAATTGACCCAAAAACCCACGATTACGCAAAAAACCAATAAACAACCCTAACCTACCTCATTAAAGATACAAGAAAATTCCCTTACTATTTTAGTACAATTATTTTGGTATATATAGAAAGTTTGACCTTAATTGATGGAAAGCTTTTTGGTTTGAAATTATGAAGATTCTAGAAGGCGCTAGAAGTTGGGTGCATGAACCGGCAATAACTGTATGTTTTGACCAACGTGCGGCATGGAACACAAAATTAAAAAATTTGAACCGAGAAAGAACTGAAAACCGATACAACACGTATCCGTTTTTAGTCTTGTTCTCGGTTCAAAATGGTTCCAAAAATTGGAACCCATCTGGTTTTTAATTTTTCAAATTTCTCCAGATGGACCGGTCCTTTCACAAAAGGTCATCGGTCTAGTCCTTATCACAATGGGACCTATTTTGGTAGAGATGATTAAGGGGTCGTTTATCAAACGCTTACCCATGTAAATGCTTATCAAGTCACATTATCTTACCGGATGAATATGATAAGGATCAAAAATCTTACCCGATAAAAACGACACAAGGACCAAGAGTCTTACTTGGTAACTGAGGGCGACGACTCTTACCACGGTGAGCGCTTACCAGACAAATTGTTGCATATGATGTCGTTTTGGTGGACTAAAATCTTACCTGATAAGTAAATGATAGTGTTAAATTTTACCGATAAGCGCTTACCGGGTAAATGTTTGGTAAACAGCCCCTAAGTGGAATCGGTTAAGGAAAACCTTGGGGACAATTATAACCGACCGGTAACAACCAATTTGGTTCGTGTTTTTCATCTACTTTCGGTTTCTTATTCTCGTATCACGAATCAAATGAGATGCAACAATCCCGATGCTTCATCTATCGGCTCCGGAGACGATCCCTTTGTGCAATTCGTCGTTACGCACAGTCGAAAGTCTGATGATTGGGAAGAATTCATCTTTGCAAGTGAGAAACATAAGAAACTACAATGTGGAAATAGACGCAATCAAAATCTTGAATCCATTTTTAATTGTTACCTCGTTGAACATTGGTGTTGTGAAGCTTAATTCGTTTAAGTTGAACGAGTTTTAGTGCGTGTTCGAGACTGACTCGAGCTCGACAATTGGTAAGCTCGGGTTCAAGATAAACGAGCTCGAGTTCGAGTAGCTCGTTAAAAAGCTCGGTGGGTGTGTTAGATAATTTAGATAGCTTGAAAGAGTATAAAACGAAACGACACTTGGAGGCCGAGTTGTTCGATGTGAGGCAAAGCCATCGAACAAATAGAAATCAGCACCCCGCTAACTACGGATACTGACAACACCTATACGACAACAACGGACAACGACAGAGATGACAATACAACGAAGACTAAAAGAGTGAAGAATAACAAAATTCTAAAACGAGTCAAAGACGACGTGAAGTGAAGACTAGAAGGTTAAAAAAGATCTCAAAAACGCTACAAAGACTAGAAGATTGAACTCGATATTAAATACGAAATGAAGTCGGTACAAAATTGTAGAAATTTGTAATAATTTAAAAAAAAAAAAAATCAAATTCCGTCCAAAACCGGGACCATTTACCGATGACCGGTTACAACCGGCTGTACTGATTTGGTCCAGGGAACAGGATTAGTACCAGGACCGGACCGACTTAACCAGTTACTCCCCTTCCGATTTAATCAGGACCGGTTTTGAGCATCTCTATCTCTACTAGGTGGTCTGAACAACGACAACTACGATGACCAAAAGATCAATTCTTAAAAAACACAAGCAGGTTATTCAAGCTACAAAAGGCTTTAAAAATTCGATCCGGTAGCAACGGTTCATATAAAACGAAATATACGTTAAAGATACATTTAACCATTACCTCAGTTCTCCTTGATCTCACCGCAGTCTTCAATAACAACTGTTGATGAAGTCGAACCGCTATCAGACCCGACCTTCTCCATCTCTTTCACTACTTTATAGCCATCAACAACCTTCCCGAAAACCACATGCTTCCCATCGAGCCACGATGTCTTATCGGTGCATATAAAAAACTGAGACCCATTAGTATTCGGTCCAGCGTTGGCCATGGAAAGAATCCCGGGGCCCGTGTGCTTGATCTTAAAGTTCTCATCGGCAAATTTTGCACCATAAATGGATTCACCACCAGTCCCATTACCCCGAGTGAAGTCTCCTCCTTGACACATGAAGTTTGGGATGATCCGATGGAATGCTGACCCTTTGTAGTGTAATGGCTTCCCGGAAGCTCCGAGTCCTTTTTCACCAGTGCAAAGGGCACGGAAGTTTTCGGCGGTTTTAGGGGTAACATCGGCAAAAAGTTCCATCACAACCCGACCGGCTTTCATCTTTCCGATCAGTATGTCGAAGAAAACCTTTGGGTTGGACATTTTTATAGCTCAATCTGCAAATTTGGTGCAATTTAAAGGGTTTATAAGCAAGCAACATTAAGCTACTATTTTCCAAGTTCCTTCTGGATGATTCTCTAAAGGGCAAAATGTATCGAATCCTGCTTTAGTTCCTATTAAATGTAACAAAGTTTAAAAAATTTCTAATTTTTACCCATTTTGACTGATAACCTACTGATCTTGTAACATTTGATGACGTAGATGTCAAGTTTATTGTCTACTTCGTTGTAACCCTTTCTTAAATAGGTATCCATACAATTCAAACGTAGATTAGCAAGTTAACGGTCAAAACAGGTACAAAATAGTAATTTTTGAAACTTGTTCGTCGATAGAGAAAAAAAATCTTTGTCACACTAAATGGTAACTAAACCATAGTTGCAAGAACCAAACATGATAACAGAAATTATTTAGAACATTAAATTATATGTAAACTAATGGTTAGAGAGGCCAAAATATTTACACATTTAGAACATAGATATCAAAAAGACTATAAATATGGTCATACCCAGGTTCTTCATGTTTTAAATATTTAGTTGATTTGTGTCGTTTATAAGTATTAACAAATAGAAAAATGTTAAACATCCTTTGAGAGAATCTAGACGTTTTAACATTTTTGTCATGTAATGTCCACCTTACCGGACATTATACATACAACTTGTTCACTCATGTCCTAGCGTGCCAAACACCAGACAAACAACTAGTCGAGTCCAGTCCTGTCCGCGTACTAAATGCACTCTAAATGATCAACTGACCTTCTAGTGGTTAATAACTTAGGGGATGTTTGGTTGGTTTTTCATTAAGTCCTTTATGGATAAAGTTGTATGTGTGGATTAATTTGTCTATATATATTGGGAAGGTGTTTGGAATAAGCCACTACTGAATAAGTCACTTTCTAGATCATTAAGCCACTACCAAACGGTCACATATGGCTAACCTAATAAGCTGTAAGTCCATTAAGCTCATTAAGCTGCTAACAAACAGGCGTTTTAGCTGGGATTGCGCGGGAAGCATAAATCCTAATTCCTACATGTAACTACTTAAAACATAATTATCTTAAGACAATGTAAATCCTTAATAGATACAGTTTCAATATTAAACTATTTCTATACAGTCGATTTTCCAAATGTTGGTCTCATCATTCAACTGAAACGATTAGCCAAAAGGAATTAAACGAACCCCTGTGAGTCTAGAAAAGTTGATTATTCCCTGCACAATTCTTACAATAAAATCTTCGGTTTCATCTGTTAACGACCTTTTCAACATTTTCCAATTTTGTAACAATTTTGTAATGTAATGTTCATCAAAAAAAAAGAAATAGGAAACTGTTATTGTTGGTATGCATCCATCGATTCACCTTCTTCTACAAACCCTATATAATTCGTATAAACTTATAAACCAGTTTTCATCGCTTGTGAAAATGCAGTGTTTATATAGTACTGTTTCGTTGTGAAACATTCAAGACTTCTATTTCCTCACACAAAACAGTTCTGAATGTTTGATATATGAACCAACATTGTATCAACACTACATTTTCACACAAAACAACACAAGAAAACTGGGGATTTGTAAATGATTTACATCTGTTTCCATATAATTTTTACCAGTGTTCTTAGATCCTAACCATAACCTCTTTTACCACAAAAATCGAAACTCAAAAATCGAAGTACAAATTGTAAACATAACACTTATGAACGATTCAACGATGCTTAATGGAGGTAAATATGTTCATCTATTATCATTATATTCTCTCAATTTCTACAACAGATATCAACAGAAAACAATAACGATAGATTCATCTTCAATTTGATCGTTTCGCCGGTGAAACCTTCAACATGTGCTTCTTAATTTATGATTCAAACATAAAGTACAACCAAAAAATCAAAATGTAATCGATAGCTAGGGTTATTGAGAAGAAAACAGTACCTTTTACGGCGATTGTATTCAGAAATGCCTCACCAAGAAAACCAGAATTCGAATCCTGAAGGGGGGCGTGAGGGTTTCTATTCAGGGGTTTTGTTAGGGTTTCAATTTCTGTATATTTCACAAAATGGCCCTTTGACTTTATGTAATTACATACTCTACCCTTTTACTTCTTCAAATTTTACTCGATTGATGTATATTTCACAA